TTTTTAAAAAAGGTGATATTTTCCTGTATGTTTTTTTTTTTTTTTTTTGTGCTACGCGGGCCTCTCACTGTTGTGGCCTCTCCCGTTGCGGAGCACAGGCTCCAGACGCTCAGCGGCCATGGCTCACGGGACCGGCCGCTCCATGGCATGTGGGATCTTCCCGGACTGGGGCACGAACCCTGCATGGGCAGGCGGACTCTCAACCACTGCGTCACCAGGGAAGCCCATCCTGTATGTTTTTTGTCTTTCAAATCAGTGTATAGTGAGTTTGTCTAGAAAAAGTTATAATATTTACATTGTCATATACATCAATCTTTTTCATTACGATTTCTGGATCTGATGTTATGCTTAAACAGTTGTCTTGCCCCACTATTAACTGACACTATCTTGTCAAACTTCACATGTTCTTGTAGATGATCTTACATCCTCTCCCTCCAAGGTTCTTCTAACTTCATTATTCTCCTCATGCTGCCTTTGCCACCACCCTTTTCTCAGCTGACACCATTTCCAACCTCACACAAAAAATAGAACCCTGGTGGGAAAGCCCTCAAATTCCTGCTTACAACATACCCCATCCCCCAAACTTACCTAGCTCTTAGCCAGGCTAGATTCTCTACCCTTAATTTGGATTCCACCCTTTTCTGCCTTGCTGGTCACTTGTTTCATCATCTTTTCTCTCTTGTCTCTTCAACCTCTCCCTGTACTTGCTTATTCCCCACCGCCCCCACCCCATATCAAGTTTACCTCTTCTTAAGATTCTACCCCACAAGCTTGCGTTGCCTCCATTATTCTTTCTTGCTCTCCAGTTGCAGCGAGAGTTCTTCAAAGTGGAACCCACACTTTGCGTGTCAAGTCCTCCTATCTCATTGCCAGCCATCAGATTCAAACACTCATCTAGGCTACTGCAGATAGAGTTCCCACCAATTCATCATCTTCACTTGGGGATTTTTAACTTGGTATCCATAGTTGGGCTGCAAGGGTCCACAAATCTGAAATTTTATGTATATGAGCACTTTTTAGGGAATAGTTTTCCTAAGATTTACTGTCATGGCATACAAGGTCCCTTGATGATGCGACTCTTACTTCTTCAGTATAATCTCTCATCACTACCTCCTCTGGGTCTGAGTCCTCTCTCCTACACAACTAGCGTCAAGCCACAGTGAACTAGTTACGATACCTAGAACTCATCATGCTCATTTGCTTAAGGGCCTTTTAACATTTAACATCCTTCCCCCATATGATGTCACCCATTTACACCTACGGTCTAAACTGGTCCTCCAAGACTCAGGGATTACTACAGGGAATCATCTCCTGTCCTCTCCAGTCAGGGTAAGTTCTCCTTTTATTTGCATCTATGGCATCATATATATACAGCTATAGTAACTGTTGTCATACACTATTATAATTATTAACTTTCTTCCCTATATCATTATAAGTTCTTCCAGAATAAGGACAGTTTTTTCCATCTCCATACTCCTAGTGTCTAATGCTCACATATTTCCGGAACAAATCACACTGCATTCTCTTCTCAACCCACTACAAACATTCTAAATTCAATATTTTAACTGTTTCATGGAAACTATCCGAGGTCAATATGCTCTTCTCATTAGCAGATTTAATGGTCTTTTCATTCCTTATCTAACTAAACTTTCCAGTCCTTCCTTATAAGTCACATTTGACATAGTTTCCCATGTCCTTTCTCAAAATCCTTTCTTACATTTGGCGTCCTGGATCCTGAGCTCACTTGGCTCTTTCTTACCTCACCAGCTGTTCCTCTGAGCATCCTCATTACCCCGACCTTTAAATGTGGGGAGTGCCTCAGGGTTAAGTCCCCAATCTCTTCATTTTTTAAAAATAAATTTATTTATTAATTTATTTTTGGCCACGTTGGGTCTTCATTGCTGTGCGCGGGCTTTCTCTAGTTGCGGTGACCAGGGGCTACTCTGCCTTGCAGTGCGTGGGCTTCTCATTGCGGTGGCTTCTCTTGTTGTGGAGCATGGGCACTAGGCGCGCGGGCTTCAGTAGTTGTGGCACGCTGGCTCTAGAGCGCAGGCTTAGTAATTGTAGTGCACGGACTTAGTTGCTCCGCGGCATGTGGGATCTTCCTGGACCAGGGCTCACACCCGTGTCCCCTGCACTGGCAGGTGGATTCTTAACCACTGTGCCACCAGGGAAGCCCCCCAATCTCTTCTTTATTCAGACTCACTATCTAGATGACTTTGCAATGCTGTGATTTCAAGTCTGCTTGCTGACAACCCCCCGATTTATACCTGGTTACACAGATGCATTCACTTTATGAAATTTCACTGAGCCAAAAACATTTATGATTCATGCCCTCTTTCATTCGACTGTTACACTTCAATAAAGCATTTTTTTTAAAAAAAGAGAAAAAAGCAGAAAAAGAGAAAAGAAAAAGGAAAAAAGAAACTGGTGTGATGAACTCCTTAATAAGAGTCTTATAACATATCCCAAGGCAAACTCCCCAGGTCTTTCCTTTGTAGGAACATGGAAACCCATTCTTCTGGTGCTCAGACCAAAAACCTTGGAATCATTCTTCATTCCTCTATTTCTCTTAACTCCACATTTAATCCATCTGCAAATCCCGTCAGCTCTACTTTCAAAACACATCCCAAATATGAATATTTTCCACCACATCTACCACTCGGATGTTTCAACTGCAATGGCCTCTTAGTTGGTCTCTCGGATTCTATCCTTGCCACGTAACAAAGTGATCCTCTTAAAAGACAGATCACATAATTTCCTACTGCTTCCCAACCACGGATTCAAATTTAAAGTCCTTTTGGCAGTCAACCATATACTACCCGATCTGGCCCTAGTCATCTCTCCGACCTCATCATCTACCTTTCTGCCCTCTGTTTCACTCCACTCTAGTGACCCTGGCTTCTCTGCAGTCCTTGAACATACCATATAGATTCTACTTGCACTTACTGCCTTTCTCCCCAAATATTCACATGGCTTTGTTCCTTAATTTCTTCAGATCTCTGCTTAAACATCATCGCTATCATCAGAGAGGCTTTTCCTTGTGATGTTTTAAAAACAGCAACATGACCCTCTCCTTATCTCTATCCCCCTTAGTATGCCTCTTCACAGCAATGACCACCTGATATTTTATTATTTATTTCATTATTGTCTTTCCTCCCCAAGCAGACTTTAAGCTTCAGGAGAGCAGGGAGTTCATCTGTTCACCAGAATTCCCAGTATCTACAACAATGTCTGGCACTAGGTAGGTGCAATGAATTTAACACTGCCCCACTTGATGTTTTTGAAATTCTATGTTCATTTTCCCTTAACTAGGCTTTCCCGATTCTTTCCCGACTCTCCTATTTCTCAGTCTCAGAGATGATGACATCTCTCTCTCTGCTCTTTCACTTCTTCTTAAACTAGGCTGTAATCAGTATAAAAGTTTCAGGCAAGGGTTATCGTAAACTTCAAAATAAAAATCAGTATCTAATGAAAGATACTGTTCTCTCTGCATGATAACTTACAATGAGTTTATAAATGCCTTGTCCATGAAAGTAAGGTGTTTTCCTTTCTCTCAAAAAGGGATTGGCGGACCTCCCTGGTGGTGCAGTGGCTAGGAATCTGCCTGCCAGTGCAGGGGACACAGGTTCGATCCCTGGTCCGGGAAGATCCCACATGCCGCAGAGCAACTAAGCCTGTGTGCCACAACTACTGAGCCTGTGCTCTAGAGCCTGTGTGCCACAACTACTGAGCCTGTGCTCTAGAGCCCCTGAGCCACAACTACTGAGCCCATGCACCGCAACTAGTGAAGGCTACGCGCTCTAGGGCCCATGCTCCGCACGAAGAGAAGCCACCGCAGTGAGAGGTCCGTGCACCTCAATGAAGAGAAACCCCTGCTCGCTGCAACTAGAGAAAGCCTGCACGCAGCAACCAAGACCCAATGCAGCCAAAAATAAATTAATTAAATAAATTAAAAAAAAAAGGGATTGGCACATGCAGGCATGACTGGAATGTAAATTATGTAAGGAACTGTAGTTTATCTCAAGTAATAATGTGAAGTGGACCACAGTGCTTCTGAAAAGATGGAGCAGAGGTGGAATTATAGATAAAAATCAACAAATAACAGTTAACATTTGTTGAGAGCTCTCTGTGTATGGGGTTACACACATGACCTCACTGAATTTCACAACTTACAGGAAGTGGGTACTATTATAATCCCAGTTGACAGATGAGGACACAACTTCAGGGATGTAAGGTCCAACCGCCAGTCACTGGAAACCCACCCCCTGCAAAACCGTGAGGGGAAAGACACGCCTTTAGCACTTTTTCACCCTCTCCTCTTGCAGACACAGCCTCTGAAACCCTCGGCTAGTGTCCTTCCTTTGTAGACACACGGGACAGAATGTGAAATGTGTCAACAGCTAAAAAGTCGGCGACCATCCTCTTTGCTCTCTTTACCCAGGAGGCTGGGGCCGTGAGCTGCGCTGAGCACCGACGTGGCCAAGGCTCCAAAGGAGAGACTCTGACCTCGGCAAAACTTTTCATATTAATGCTCGTTTTTAGGCTAAAAGTTTGCTGTCTGGTAGAAGTCCTCTGGCTCCAGGGACGATTCCCGTCCCCCGACCCCGCAGTTCCCCGGGGGCATTTAGGAACCTTCCCAATTCCGGCCCGAAACCTGATGGATGTTTAGAGGATCTCCAAGGCCACCTGAGGGAGGTGGGGAAGGAGACTGGAGGGAGGGGGAAGGGGAGAGGTAGGAAGGAGAGGAGTGGGAAAAGGAAATAAAGGACCCGGGAGAAGATGATAGGAAGAGGGGTAGGAGGGTGAGAGGAGGGGGACGAGGAGGAGGAAGGAAAAGAAGGGGGAGGAGAAGGAAAGGGGGGGAGAAGAGGGAGGGGGGAGAAGGGGGAGGAGAGTAGGCAGCCCGGCCCTCCCCTGCCCCTCCCCTCCTCCCACCCCCTCCCCAACCTCGGACCCAACGCTAGGGGTCCCCAGGCGCCGCCGCCCCCAGCGCTCACCTGTCATCTGGCCCCGGCCCGGGGGTGTCGGCCGAAGGCTCTGCGGCGCCGCCCGCGCTGAGTCCCGGGGCCCGGCGGCTTCGCCTCCGCGGCCGGCTCTGCTCCTGGGCCGCCAGCTCGGGCTCCATGGCGTGAAGGGGGCGGCGCGGTGGCCGGGTGCCCGGGAGGCCCGCTGGGAGCCGCACGGCGCCCGGCCGCTTCGGCCCGGAGAAGAGTTCCTGTCAGGAGGGCGCCGCCACCGCCGCCGCCGCCATCGCCATCTTCCGGGGTTTGAAAATGGCGGCCGCGCGGCGACCAGCCAATCAGGGGACGGCGTGCGGTTGCTAGGAAACGTGGAGTCCCGCCCCTCTCCTCCTACCTCCAGGCGCTTAACTTCATAGAAGCTAGAAGGGGAGGGTAGCCGAGGGGGTCACCCTGCTGAAAACGCGTGACCTGGGATTTAGTTCTGACTCCATTCCTAAATCCCCAAGACCCGATTAGTAGTTCACAGTTCACTAGGACTTTCACCACAAGCCAAGGCAAATTGGAAGCATTTTAGAACTTTCTTAGCGTGTGGGGAGAGGTTGAAAGTAAAATGAGGTTTGCACACGCTGAATTATTCATGTGAGATAAATCCCCGGTCACCAAAGGTATTGGAAAAATGTGTTCTCAGGGCTCTCTCTAGGAAACCAGTAAATCTGATTATGAGACCTCCTGTCTCCAGAGCAGAAGAGTCCAAGTGCCTTCATCCTCTAATTATAAGAAGGCACTACAGCACGTAAAGGACCTTCTCAAATAAAAAAGAAAATTGTTAAATAGCACATTCTTTGGTTTAAAATACTGCTTTCTTTATGTCAAAGGCTTTAAAAATCACCTCCCCTTTCACACTCTGATTCCCTTTCTGGGAATCTATCCTAAGAAATAAAATTGTATATACATTGAAGGGTAGCAATATATGCCACCTTAAACATGCTGCTTTGGAAGGAGGATTATTTTTAGCTGCAGGCACTTGAAGAACACCAGGTGCAAGAAGCGCCTTCTGACCTCCCCCCTTCTTCATAAAAGCAGGAGATAAATCTCCCCTCTGATAGCGGCCCTCCCCATATCAGGAGGATGGGGGGAGTCAGAATTCTCTACAAACAGAAATTGTTTAAATAACTCTTATCTTCCTTTGGTCTCCCCGTGTATTTTACTTACTCTTCCACAATTCCCTCTCATTGTCCAACCTCGTACATAAGCACTAAGGTTTTGCTCCTTCTTTGGGTTTTTATTTTCCTATGGAGGATCCTCTGTACATGTAAAAATCTGTTTGCTTTTCTCCTGTTAATTCAAATTCTGTCTTTTTTTTTTTTTTGCGATACACGGGCCTCTCACTGTTGTGGCCTCTCCCGTTGCGGAGCACAGGCTCCGGACGCGCAGGCTCAGCGGCCATGGCTCACGGACCCAGCCGCTCCGCGGCATGTGGGATCTTCCCGGACCGGGGCACGAACCCGTGTCCCCTGAATCGGCAGGCGGACTCTCAACCACTGCGCCACCAGGGAAGCCCCTCATACATTCTTAATACAAGAGGAGGATTCTTTCTTAAAGACATTTGTGATTTTCAACCTAGGTATACGTCGCAAGCAGATTTGGATAAGCTTTAGAGAATTCATCGGTAGTTGTGCACAGACTTTATCACAGGGTGTTCAGGTAGGCCCATCACAGCTCCTCTGACACCAGAGAAGTGAAAAACTGAAAAGAGGCTGTGCTGCTTTAAGTGTCTCAGCCCTCAGGTAGAGTCACTTCCTGCCCTTTGATAAAGCTTACCTGGGCGGCTCCTCCTGTCAGTACCACTGGGCAGTGGGGCACCTGCAGATCAACATGGTAAGTGGCTTCTATGTTGCTGACAGTGTTGCTGTCAACAGTTGTAGCAAATTTTTTTCATCACGTGTGTCTCTCTTTTCCCCCACCAAACAATTCTTCATGGATTCCTGACACAAGAGAAGAAATTTTTAAAGAGGCATTTGTTTCTTTAAATATCTGTGTTTGGATCAGATTTGAATCTGCTCTGAATCTCACCTATTCATCTATAATTCTGCTGCTTTTAGGACAAGCTTTGTTGATTTGTAGTGGTTCACTGCCTTTAACGGAAGCACTGAGGCAAGATCCTCTCCTTCCTTTAGTTTTTACATTTGCTTTAGACTGAGTGTGCTGGTTTTTCTGTAGAAACCGGTGGCTTCGTTTTTAGTAATGCTTTCAGAGTTTCTGGGAACTTCAGACCCAGGTCACCGTTGCTGAGCTCATAAATGTGAGGCTGGGTGAAGGGCAGGGACCTCTATGTTGTCCTCTCTTGAGTCTAGTTCTTTGAGGACAATAATTAATACAGTTACTTACAATAATTCTGTTTGGGGACCACCTCTTATGATCCACTTTCCTTTCACTCTCGGTTTTTTATTTCTTTTTTTAATTGACGTAGAGTCACTATACAATATTATGTGTTACAGGTGTGCTATATAGTGATTCACAATTTTCAAAGGTCATACTCCATTTGTAATTACTATAAAATACTGGCTCTATTCCCCATGTTGTACAATGTATCCTTGTCACTTATTCTATACCTAATAGTTTGTACCATTTAGTCCCCTACCCCTAAATTGCCCTCCCCCCTTCACTCTCCCCTCCGCTAACCACTAGTTTTTCTCTATATCTGTGAGTCTGCTTCTTTTTATTATATTCACTAGTTTCTTGTATGTTTTAGATTCCACATATAAGTGATATCATACATGTTTGTCTCTGTCTGACTTATTTCAATTTTTCAAGTCCATCCATGTTGCTGCAAATGGCAAAAATTTGTTCTGTTTTAATGGCTGAGCAATATTCCATTGTGTGTGTGTGTGTGTGTGTGTGTGTGTGTGTGTGTGTGTATACCACTTCTTATCCATTTATCTGTTGATGGACACTCAGGTGGCTTCCATGTCTTGACAATTGTAAATAATGCTGTTATGAACACTGGGGTTCATGTATCTTTTCGAATTAGTGTTTTTGTTTTTCTCAAATATATACGCAGGAGTGGAATTGCTGTTTCATATGACAGTTCTCTTTTTAGTTTTTTGAGAAACCTTCAAACTGTTTTCCACAGTGGCTGCACCAATTTATGTTTCCACCAACAGTGTTATTATCTCTTATGTTCCAGTCACAGTAATTTTTAGTCTTAGAATTTTTAATTCTTAAATGAAAGCAAGCATTCGAATTGCTTTTTCATCTTTGATCTTCTCACCCCATTGGACTTTCTCTCCAACATTTTAAGGATGTTTATTTTATATTGTTTTGCTCTTAAAAATTATGCCTTCCTACATCAGGGATCCTTGCAGTAATGGAAATGCTCTGTCTTGAGTGTATCAGTTTTGATATTCTGGGTGTGATCTTGCAAGATATTTCCACTGGAGGAAAACAGGTAAGGGATCCATGAGCTCTTTCTGCATTATTCCTTATAACCACACATGAATCTACAATTCATATTTATCTCAAAATAAAAAGGTAATTAAAAAACTGTGCTGTCCTAGTAATTCCCAATAAGCTTTAAAGCAGCATTTATGAATGTGCTGTGATATCACTACTGATATTCAGTGGGCATTTGACAGTCTTTATTTTATATAGTGTGACTAATATTTTAACAGATAGTTTGGAAAGGAGGAAAAGGCTAAGAATAAGGTGGAGATAGCCTTCTGTCCCCGGGACACAGTTATGAGATAAACTCAGCTGCTTCTCAAACCAGGATGGGCAAGATTGGTCCTTCTTTGGCCAAGTATTCCTGCCAAGTTCAAAAAGCTGTTTCCCTCCTATGTCTGTATCACTTGGGAGAACAGTCCCCATGAAGATCAGCAATTGTTTTTCATGTTGGCGATTATTTTTACTGTGAATATTAAGAGCAAGTACCCTGTGTGCATGACCTGTTGGACTGGGTGGAAAACAGCCGTGGAAGGATGTTGTGAGAGAAATCTACATGCAAGTGGTTTTAATGACGCAGAAACAAGGAATTCGCCGCCCCCCTCCACCCCCTCCACCCCCACCCCTCCGCCACTTTTAAGTTTGTACCTAAATCTAGGAATTGGGGTAAGTTTTGATCTGATCACAGTAGCTAATGTACTGAGATCATCTTAAGTCCTTTGGGAGGAGAGAGGATTGAAGCTGTGCTTTACAGACTCAGGTGTTAGAAGGCTGTTGATGATGGAATATGTTGTTTTGATTTTTCTGTGCCAGATAGAGGTTGGAAAAATTGGTTGGTACTAAGTGAAGTGCTTTGTAAATTGAGTTCACTTCCTTTGTCGTGAGAGACATGGTTGCATACAAAAGAAATCAAAGGGAAGTTCTACTCAGGTAATGAACTTGAATTCCTCGTAAAGCACAGAGTTCTGTGTTATGCCCGTGACTCAAGGAGACAAAGTACAGGGTTTTTATGGCTGAGCACAAGCAGAGTGAGCAGAGTCTGGGTCAGATGGCAGGGCTGTGACTGGCCACAGAGACCTCCTTCCCCTCGTCCAATCGGTGGTCTTTTTGTGGTTGAATCTCAGACCTTGGGAAAGTGCAGCCACGGAGGAGGAGGGCAGTGTTGCCTATCAGCATATCAGGCAGACAGCCTGAAGGGTCCTGATGATGCAGTAAACAGACTTCTCACCCTGTAAGACCCTCTGCACAGACTTGTTCCATGACCATTGGCAATCAAAACACAACGATATTAAAGCCAGCAATTGCTGTCCCTTTAGATTTTTAGGATTTAACTTTTTCTCCCCTCTCTTAGATGAGTAGATATTTAAATTACAAAAAAAAAAAGTTATTTGCCTTAAAACAAATAAAAGTGAATGGTAATTTAAAAGTGGGAGAGGAGAGGGGAGGCTAATGAGGGTGAAGAAAATAGGTAAGTTTAAACAGGAAAAAAAATTCTACCCAGATGTAACTAGAGTTAATATTTTGATGCATTTTAAAGACTTTTTTTCTGTGCTTATTTTTACTTTTATTTTATTTTATTTGTTTATTGATGTATAGTTGATTTACAAAGTTGAGTTAGTTTCTTGTGTACAGCAAAGTGATTCAGTTATACATATATATATTCTTTTTCATATTCTTTTCTATTATGGTTTATTACAGAATGTTGAATACAATTCCCTGTGTCATTCAGTAGGACCTTGTTGTTTATCTATGTTATATGTATTTATATTTATTTCTCCCCTCTTCCCCTTTGGTAACTGTAAGTTTGTTTTTTATGTCTGTGGGTCTGTTTCT